GCTGTCATCACCCATCACATTTAATTCACATGTTAGCCTGGAAACTCACTATGGCAGGTCAAATAGAAGTGCAGCTACTGAGCACTAACCCATATGCTAATGCAAATTCTTTACATATAGAAAGATATTTGAAAGTATTATGAACATTTTGGTGAAAAAAATATGCAATGTGATTTCATTATTCTTATTTTACTTGCATACCTCAATACAACATTTTTTAAATGTCTGTTTATTTTTCAGAGGCGGGGGGATGGGCAGACAGAGAGGGAGAACACAGAATCCAAATCAGGCTCCAGGCTCTGAGCTGTCAGCCCCAAACGTGGGGTTGGAACTCTGGAACCATGGGATCATGACCTGAGCACAAGTGGGATGCTTAACTGACTAAGCCACCCAGGTGCCCCAATAGAACATTTTAAATAGTTTTATTAAGATGTAATTTAGGTACCATAAATTTAGGTACATAAACAAGTCAATGTTTTTAGTATATTTAACTAAAACCATAATGTAATTTTAGAATATTATTTATCACCTTCCCCCCAAAACTCCTCCACTCTTCCCCATCTCCAGGCAAACACTAATCTACTTTGTTTCTAAGATTTGCCTATTTGTGGATATTTTATATAAATGTGTTTTCTATAAACACATACAATATGTGTTTTTCTTTTTTTTTTAAATGGGCTTCTTTCAGTTCACACGACAATCTAGTTTTAAGTTGTTTGACCTCAATATTCTGTCTGTGAGGATAAAATGTCATCCTTGAATTCTTTTATGAGTTTGAGGATTGGGTACAATTTTCATGACAGAAAACTTAAAAACTGGTTAAAGCAAGAGGGCTTTTCTGCGCCAGGTATGTTAATCCATTTTGCCAATGTTAATATACAAGATTGTGCAAGCATGAGCCACGGAACAATGTGTGTCCATGGATCCCTAAACTGACATTGTCCAGGAGAATTTTGGGGGAAAACAAACAACAACAAAAACACTGCAAGTCACAAACAGGATCCATTAAAAGACAAGTGTAGTTTAAATACTTATGAAATGTAGTTTAACAGTTTAATTTCCCATCTTCGGAAAACTGGTGATTGCAGAGTATTTAACATAAATCCACATAAATTTGTGTTTCGTGGATAGGGGGCCTTTCTGAGCTAGAATCCTTAGGAAAAGCAAATAGGAACTTTACAGAGAAAGTAAATTCTCCCTTCTGCCCTTTCCCCCTCTTTTCTCTGGCAGGGTTGATACTCATTACAGTTTGCTCAAATACTTGGAAGAGAATTTAGAGCCCTCCCCCCAACTTCTGATTTTAAAGCCAATAGATGATGAGGTTTATTTGCATATTTCCAGTCACATAAGCAGCCGTGCAGTGGAAACAGTGTCAGACTCCATTCTCCCTTCTCCTCCTCAGAGGGAACCTGCCACTTCTAACTGCCCTGCCCTCCGTTTTAAAGGGCAACTTGCCTCACGCTGAACCGCGCCTCCAGCCTGCTCCCGTCTCAGGCTCAGCTGGTCCAACACTGTTCGCGCTCCTGCCAGAGCCCTGTAGCTCCTACAGAGAGCCCTGCCCGGAGATGGAGAGCAAAACCCTGTTCCTGATGGCTCTGGGCATATGGCTCCAGAGTCTGACCACTACCCGTGGATGGGTGGCTGCCGACGACAGTAAGTTTTGCGTGTACACTCCCCTCCACCTGCAGACTTCACTCTGTGGCCACTTCCACAAGTTACAAGGATGGGAAGGAGGAAACTGAAAGGGGTTGCAGAGGCACCCTGGAAACTTTCCTAGCCAGAGCGCCAGGCCGGGAGAAGAGTCACTGGGCTGGGATCCGGGAGGGGCAGGGAGGGAATTCTCCCTCCGATCTTGCTAGAGTCTTGCTGGAGTCTTTCCC